ACAGCTAGGGGTGGACTTATCAGCATTATGCTAGACAGCATGGGTGCTCTGGCCAGGCACCTTGCCCTTGTGGCTTTGTCTCACTCTTCCTCAGACCAGTCACCCAGTCTTCTTGGGAGAAGGTGGGGTGGCTTCTTCCTGCTGATGATCGACTCTGAGTTGTTTGTAATTTTCTCAAAAAATAAATTCTCTGAGGCTACAAATTTCTCATGCTTGGTCTCAAGCCCAGAAGTGTGTTTTGTTGTTGTTTCTGGAAAGTTTCAAATAACGTTTATTTGGAGATTATTTTAGTGGGAACATTTATGTCAGCAGTTGAACCTCTCACACACATTTTCTTTTATTCTTTGTATTCAAATAACCCTTAAAGATGCCAAGTACCCAGGCTTCAATGAAGAATTCATGGCAAGAATTCATTTCCCCTTCTCTCTCATTTTTCATTTTTTCCCCCTTGATCACTCCTCTCTCTCTGAGAAAATGCATAGAAAACAAGGCCTCCTTTTCTCATCCAAATACAGGACAAGCTTTGCATTGCCATGAAAAGTAATAGACCTTACTGTTGCCTTCACTCAACTCTTAAACTGTACCTTTTTCTTTTCACAATGGGGCGAAGTTACAGCGCAAATTGCATTTCAATTTAAGCCTTACTTGTTTTTATTTAAAAAAAAAAAAAAAAAACCTTAAGGCAATGTTGTCAGAAACATAAGTCTTTGGAATTATTATCTTTTCAGACCAAACTCACTAAGTAACTTGCTCCAGGAAGTAACTCCATTTCCCCAGCTGCTAAATAAGATCCATCATACCTACAGTGACTGCACACTCCCCCCGCCCCCCCTTTTTTTTAAATATTAGTTACAGTTCTACTTATATGTGATTTAGACTCTACATGCCATGTTTTGGAGCGCTTATAATGGTACCTGCTTGCAGGTCTCTTTTGGGGATGAATGAGTTAACTCTTCTTCCCCTTTGGATACCTGCTTCCTCTCACCCCCTTTCCCTCTACAGCTACTTTTCTTTTCTCCTTGTTGCTTTTAAAAGCAGTGCTGGTGGCTGGCAGCAATAGTGGGATCTGTTTCCATTTTGAACTTTATAAATCACCAAGGGTGCAGAAGTAACAGGGATTGTTTGGCTGGTCCTCCTTAAGCAGGAGGGGGTCTGGGCTGAATTTCCTCAGTAAAACCTTTGTCGACTTTACAACCCAGACACCTCTGTAGACTCTCTGTGTTCAGATAAGGAACAGCTCTCCCTACCTGCTTTGTCTTCTTGTCCTCTTTGCCTTTTAATACTTTGTATTCATTGGATCTCTTCCTCCCCCTCCCTTCCTTTCTTTTAGCCAGGAAGGACCTGAACAGTTTCCCTTCATTCCAACTCACCGAACCCGTGGGGATCAGAGTAGAACCGTGCTCCACGGGGTTTACAATAGCTGATTTTTCTGAAGCTGATTGCCAAACCTTTCTTCCCAAGTGCCTCTGGGTAGACGTGAACCACCTACCTTTGGTTAGCAGCCAAACATGTTAACTGCACTACCTAGGGACCTAAGAAGGAAAAGGTATTATCAGTCTCCTTACTAGGAACTCATGCAGTGTTCTCTGTAAATACATCATTTTTTGGGGGAAAAGTAAATTAGAGTATTAAAACATGTATCTGGAAAATTAGGGAGCTCTGGTAGCGTAATGCCTAAGGCACTTGACTGCTAACCATAAGGCTGGAGGTTCAAACCCATCGGCCACTCCTCAGAAAGAAGATGGGGCGATCTACTTCCATAGTGATACTGCCTCGGAAACCCAAGGAGGGGTCACTATGAGTTGGCTCGATGGCACATGACAACAACAATAATATCTGGAAAATTGAGAAGAATCCAAAGCTTGCTTTTTTGGTAATAGTTTACATATGTATTAATGAACTTTTTCTCTGGAAGTCACTGTTAAAAATCTTCACTGCATCATCTTTATTCCAATTATGTTTGTTAAGCACCTATTACTTGGTGCTTATAGCCCTGATAGAAAAGATGCAACACAGCAGGATGATACTGTGGTAAAAAGCACAAAGTTTTGTAATCAGTCTAACCTGGGTTTCAGTTCAGGTCTACAGTTACGTGGTTTTAGGCAAGATTATATTTGGACCTCAATTTCTTCACCTGTGAAATGGGGATAATAGTATTCTCCTTGTAGAGTGGTTGTGAAGATCAAAAGGGACACTTTGTACAAAGAGTTTAATTCCATACCTGTACACAGTGGCAAACATTCTAATAAAGTTTCACTTTGCTGTTAACAGCAGAGTTCCTGGGTGGTACAGTTGCTAACCAGAAGGTTGGCAATTCAAACCCGCCAGCCACTCCTCAGAAGGAAGGTTGGGCAATCTACTTCTGTAGTGATACTGCCTTGGAAACCCAAGGAGGGGTCGCTATGAGTCAGGTCCGACTCGATGGCAAATAACAACAGTTGGTTAAGTACTTGACTACTAATTGAAAGGCTGGTGGTTCAAAGCCATCCAGCGGTGTCTCAGAAGAAAGGTGGGGTGATCTGCTTCCAAAAGGTGGCAGCCTTGAAAGCCCATTTGAGTGCAGTTCTCTTCTGCACACATGGGTTGCCATGAGTTGGAATCAACTAATGAATATCAGCACTTTGATGTACTGGATTGTCTTTAAAAAAAAAGAACCAAAAAAAAAAAAAAAGCTTTATCTCTACATCCACAGGAAATTATTGTAATTTGTCAGGAAAGAACTTTTGAAAAGCCTCTTTAAAAAGTTTCTTTCAAAACACTATTAGAAAACATCCCCTTTTCCTTTCCTAGTGCAATCAAGGAGTCTTGGAAGTGCTCTAATGTAGAAGTCATAAGGCGACAGAATGAATGAAAATCAAAGGGGAAAAGTTTTTTAAAAAATAAAAAATGCAGAATGTTAGCATAGGGGCTAGGGTCCTAGATCTGACGTCTCTCTTGGCTCTTGTTTAGGGTCTTATCAGGCAGAGCACATGCGGGGCATGGCCTCTCAGCAGCCAAGTGGAAAGCAACAAAGCTAACAGCCCTTGAAGAAGCCAAAGGTGGAGGCCGATCCGAGGCACTTTCCACACAGAGTGAGATCTTTGAGCCCATCTTCAGATCTCTAGGCCTGGAGTGCTGGGATTGAAAGGCTCAAGACCATTTCTTACAAATTACTGTGAAGCCAGCAAAGACTTTCAGAGATGCGAGCAGCACAGATCTCACAGTTGGGAGCTTTACTAATTCCCTTGATTTTTCAGTGGTAACTGTAAGTCTGAAAGAATCAGTAGTTAGATGAATCAGTCCAGAAGAGTTAACATTTTTAATATATGTCACACTCTTGGAAATATTACTATTATTACATGAGCATGATTACGGAGGACTTAGTCACTGCCCAGGTTATTGGCATGTGGCCTTAAAGCACTGCTTGAAACTCATACTGATGCCTCACTACCTACTTAGGATATTGATTAGAAAGCAACTACAACAAACAGAAAACACTCCCCAAGTTGCCATCAAGTCGATTCCAGTTCATGACGACCCTTTGTCCATTAGACTAGAACTGTACTTCTTGGGGTTTTCAGTGAATGATTTTGCGGAAGCACATAGCCAGTTCGTTCTTCTCAGGCACCTTTAAGTGGACTTGAACCTCTAACCTTTTGGCTTGGCTGTGAGCCCATTAACCATTTGCAACACCCAGAGAACTCCAAGCATATTGACATACCTTCCTTTACTTGCCTAATGTTCTGTAAGTACACCAGTAAAAAGCATAGCTAATAGAAGCAAAATCTTGGTTTTAACTGTCACAAAAGTGTGTATGTGTTAGCATGTACTTCTGCCCCCATGTGATTTCATTGACTCTTTTAGAGACAGTAGTTTGAAGGAGGCATAGTACTGTGACAGAGAGGAGTTAGAGTTCTAGGCAGGTAATAAGAGGGTAGTTGATAGCCGAGAAAAGTCATCAGGTGGCTGGATGTACAGCATAATCTGTTGCCCAAGGAAGTTTGTTCTGGGTTAGAGATGCAACCTGGGCAATCATCAAGAGCAGAATGGAACACACCAGAATTCAAGCATCAAGGGTAGAGGGATATGGAAGTCAGCAAGTGAAGCAAGGCATATGCCCTGAAAAAGTGGGGGTTCTTTGCTGATGTGTGACATTTGTCTCTGCTAGAGGTTATACAGACAGCTGAGAAGGGTAGGGTTAATTCCAGGAATAAAAAAGAGTTCACAGGAATACAGGCATAGAGCTAGGATGAGGAGAATCAAAGTAGAAAATCTTTAGTGAGTTGATAATTCATTCTTTAGTAACATCCCCTAAAAGGGGGATCCTATAAGCCTTATAAGGAGCTCTGGTGGTGTAGTGGCTAAAGCATTTGGCTGCTAACCAAAAGGTAGGTGGTTCGAATCCATCAGCCAGTGTGTGGAAAAAAGATGAGGTGGTCTGCTTCCACAAAGATTTACACCCTTGGGAATGAAATGGGGGTCACTAGAATCAGAATCAACTCGATGGCAGTGAGTTTGGTTTTTGGTTGGGAGCTCTGGTGGCGTAATGCATAAGACATCTGACTGCTAACCAGAAGGCTGGTGGTTCAAACCTACCAGCCACTCCTCAGAAGGAAGACTGGGCAAATCTACTCTTGTAGAGATACCACTTTGGAAACCCGAGGTGGGGTCACTATGAGTTGGGACCAACTCAACGGCAGTGAGTTTGGTTTTATTTATTTATTTTTAATGTCTTATACACATGACACTGCTCTTCCCTAATAGTCTGCACTAGTATTTTTAAAGGCATAAAATCACCTTCTAGCTCGAGGGGTCAATTCCTAAGAAGCTTCTCTCAGGTGAGAAATAGTATGAGAGTGTTCTCCAGGCTTCCAGTGGCTTGGCCAAGTCTACATTTCAAATGTCACCAGCATATGCAATGGAAGCTGGAGTGGGAGACAAAGCCAGATCTTATGGTGACTACAGGGACATCCCAGGTGTTCTCACCATGGCCATTCCTCTCTCTCTGTCTCTCACAACAGAGTGTTTCAGGGGACTGCAGTATCTCTTTGAGTGACCCACAGTGGCTTATGGGACGTTGGCTTCAAACCACCTGTGATACACCATACTGCGTGGGATGGCAATTCAGAGAGGAAGGAGGCCTGAGGTCACACTTGCCTGCCTCATCTTAGCCACAGCAGGCTGCTTTGCAGACTTGAGTGAGTACTTTCCTTCTCTTTCTTAGCCTGCTTCTCTTGGAAGAGAACACTTTGCCCTAATATAAAATGGAAGCATTAGCATTCTACAATAACTCTTTAAAAAGGCCTTCCTCTCCCTGGATTTCAAAGAACAGTTCGCTCTCACTGGCCTCCGGGGACATGCTCAAGAATACAAGATGAGAAATGATCACAACAAAATGGTATTTTATCCATTCAGAGACATACCAGAGGAGGAGGGGATAATAATAATAACTGCCTTTTATGGAACATTCATTAATGAGGTCTGACAAGCAATTTCTAAATTTACACACATTGTTTCACACAACAACCCTGTGGGGCAAGTATCATTAGCTCTGCTTTAGAGATAAAAAACTGAGACTCAAGGGGCTAAAGTCACACTGCTCAGAAGTACTGGCACTGGGATTCAGAACCAAGTCTCTCTAATTCCAAAGCCTGAGCTCTTACACCTTTACACTACACTGCTACTCCAAATCTACTTTCTGGGAATAAGGACAGGTTGAAGAATGAACCCAAGGGCAATAGAGTTACTCAGAGAATGACCAGGTCGTCTGCAGTCCTCAGCTCTGGAAGGCTGTCTGGGTGTTGTTGGTTTCTGGGGTGCATCAGTTCATTGCTGCGTCTCCGTTCTTCCTCCAGATGAGGTCCCTCAGGTCACTGTCCAGCCTGCTTCCACTGTCCAGAAGCTTGGAGGGACTGTGATCCTGGGCTGTGCGGTGGCACCTCCGTGGATGAACATCACCTGGCGCCTGAATGGGAAGGAGCTGAATGGCTCAGACGATGCTCTGGGCCTCCTCATCACCCGTGGGACCCTCATCATCACTGCCCTCAACAACCACACCGTGGGACGGTACCAGTGTGTGGCCCGGATGCCTGCAGGGGCCGTGGCAAGCGTGCCGGCCACTGTGACACTAGCCAGTGAGTGCTACTCTCCATCCTTCGCCCCTCTGCCTTGTGCTATGATCTTTCTTCCTCTCTCCCTCTTTCTTTCTTCCCTACCATTCAAACAACCCATGGTTGGTCTTACTTTAAACACCCACTGCCATCAAGTTGATTCTGACTCCTAGCAACCCTCTGTTGCAGTTGTTGTAATATGCTGTTGAGACGATTTCAACTCATAGTGACCCCTCCTTGGCTTTCTGAGGCAGTATTAGTATGGAAGTAAATTGCCCCATCTTGCTACCAAGGAGTTGGCTGGTGGGTTTGAACTGCCAGCTTTCTGGTTAGCAGTCAAATGCCTTACGCACTATGCCACCAGAGCTCCTAGTTTATTCAGTTTATTACTTATATCTCATGTCTTTTTTTCTATATATAACCACTTCACAATTTTAGAATATGAAGTAAAGCTCGAAAAAGAAAATTGTCTGATACTCAGTTATAGTGACAGAAGTATTTTATCTGTATACATGCTACCAAAGTGAGCACCAAAGTGTTTCATTTGATCAGCAGAGTTTCAAACTTTTTGTCACCCATCAACCCTATGGAACATAATAGAATTGCCTCATAGGGTTTCCAAGGCTATAAATCTTTATGGAAGCAGACTGCCACATCTTTTGTCCGCAGAGTTGGGGGTAGGTTCAAACCGTCAACCTTTTAGTTAGCAGCCCAATGCTTTAACCACAGAACCACTAGAGCTCCTAGCCTTATGCTAAAAGGTGTTGTAAACGCTGAATTTTCAAATCAGAGAGCTGTAACTACCCAATAATCCCTCAGTGGTCTAATCATAGCATGGGGGACCATTTTGCCACTGTGAATATTCATTCTAAATAGGGGCGATGCTTAGACTCACGACAGAGAGAGAGGCAAGCGTTCTTGACATGGTTGAATTATTTCTTTGAGTCCCAGAACTGGGTCGTGCCATGCCCTTCAGTTTGGACACCCTGTGGTTGTAGATGCCATTGTGCAAACTACTTGTCCATCACCTTCCAGTTCCCTTGCTCATCCCTACCGCCCACAATCAGAGGCTATATGTTACTTGGACAGAGCCTCCCCATCCTGGATTTGGCCTCCTGTCTTTCTGTGAGTGGCAGGCATATACCAAATGCCTGGAATATAAGTAATAGAACACAATGAAAAGAAACTGTGTGACAAAGAGGTGAGAGGAGAAAAGAGAAGAGATAAGTGACAGCTCTGACAGAGGAGGATGCCGGGAAAAGACTTCATATTACTATTATATTTAATTAGCACTTGAGTGCACTATGTTCCAGGCATAATATATACATTATCAGATTCTCTACCCATTATGCATAGAGCAAAATGAGACTTGATTGATTAAATAAACTACTGAAGGGTACAGAGAAGTCTTTCTTATAAGTTGAGCTAGAGCCAGGAAATATTAAGAATTGCCTCCAATTTGGCCTCTTTCTTGGAACCTCAGCTGTAGGGAATAGGGAAATTCATTGGAACTTTAATGGTATTTGAATTTAACTTTGAGATGATTTCCAGAGTTTGTCCCTCAAGACTTGGCAGGGACCTCTGTCCCTGACAGCCTTGCTTGGGGCTTCCATGTTCACCATTATCATCACCCTCTGGGATGATGTGATTTCAGGATATTGGTTGTCTTAGTTTATGGATCATGCCTGAGGCAGCAAACTTCCTAAATGCCCCTCTATCAATGCCAGTTGGGGTCTCAGTGTGTGTGAGGCATAGATTCTGGGAGGGAATGTTGAGAGATGGGAAAGCAGAAAAAGCCCTTCCCTGCCTTCTGGTCCACAGAGCCCCAGAGGTACATCACTCAATTTTAGTGACAGAAGTATTTTATCTGTATACATGCTACCAGGAGAGAGGAATGCAGGTCACAAGCAACACTTTGTTCTAGGGAAATAGTCAAGGGGAGAAAGGCAGGGTGCATCCCCAGCTGTCTCCCCTGGAATCAGGCTGACCTTGGGCTGCTTTGTGGACCCTCCTCATACAGTGGGAGTACTGATTGAGTGTCAGGGATCCAGAGAGCAGCCTGTGAGTGCTCAGTGAGGGAGCCCTACCAGTGTTGCATATCAGGAGGGGGTGCAGGGGTTGCCAGGAGACTTGGTCGAGGAGGGTAAGAAGACAGAGCTGAAAGGGATCCTGTCATCACAGCAACAAGGGCTGAGGTCAGAGCTACGCTTCCTACCATCATACTCCTCATCTGCTTTTTAAAACTGTAATTACACTAGAGAAAGTTTAGAATATACAAAAAATACTGTCTCCCCTAAGCCCAGCATCCTCACACAACTACGTTACTGTTTTGTAGTCTGCCTGTCTAGTCTTTATCTGATTTTTACGTTGTTGTAATGACACTACTGAATGTACAGTTTTTATTTAATTTCTCCCCTTGACATTGTGATAAGCATTTTTTATTATTTATTATATGATCATAATTCACTCTTTTCTTTCGTAATGAATGCAAAATGCACATTGTATATAGTAAAGTTGGCAAGGTATACTAATCTTAAGGGAAACAACTGATGCATGCCCTGATGGCACAGTGGTTAAGCACTCAGCTGGTAACAGGAATATCAGTGGTTTGAGTCCACCAGCTGCTCCTTGAGGGAAAGATGATGTAGTCTGCTTCCATAAAGATTATAGCCTTGGAAACTCTATTAGGCAGTTCTGCTCTGTCCTATAGGATCACTATAAGTCAGAATCAACTAGGCAGCATTGGGTTTGGGTTTTTATACCCATGTGATCATTGTTCCAGCAGGCTCCCTTCTGTCCCTTCCTGGTTAATGCCATCCCCCCCTTTCCCCACTGGAGCATGCTTGTAATTATTACTGGTCCTAAAACATCCCCTCAAGTGGCTGTGCCATTGTGTACTGACCCTTATCCTATTGCTGGGCAGTTAGGTCTCTTCCAGTCGTTCATTATGACAAATAAGATGTACATTGAGCACTGTTTGTGACTTTGAAAGGTAATGCTGCTCATCTAGCGGGAGAAAGAAAAGGAGAGGTTTTATCTGCAAATGGTCAGCAGCATGTGTGTCTGTACAGAATCATTTCAAGAAACTCCATAACCATTAATTTGGCCTAGTCAGGAGGTGCCAAGGCACTTGACTGCTAACCAGGAGGCTGGCGGTTCAAACCCACCAGCCACACCTCGGAAGGAAGGTTGGGCAATCCTACTTCTGTAGTGATAACTGCCTCGGAAACCCAAGGAGGGGTCGCTAGGAGTTGGGGCCGACTCGATGGCAAATAACAACAACAACAGTCAGGAGGCAGGCTGAGGCTTTTATTATTTGAAAGAAGAGAGAGTTGAAAAATAGAAGTTTTATTTTGGAGCCTTCCTTTGGCTTCAAGGTGTATCTGTGTGAGGAGGGACAATTTATAGCATTGTTTAAAAAAAAAACAAAAAAAAACACCCTGGCTGCTTCTTTCCTTTGGTGCTTGAGGGGGATCTGCAGTTGGCAGTGAGGACAAAGAAAGGGTTTGGTCACTACCCAAGAAGACACAGTGAGAGAGGAGCTTGTGCAGGAGCCGAGCTGTTCTTATTGGAAAGCCAAGAACTATTGGCTTGTCATTTAGACATGAATCAGAAGTGAAATGTTTGGACCTGCCTGGAAGGATGGAGAAGTGCTGGAAAGAGAGAGCAAGTTCAAGGGGCTGTGTCATGGAGAAGAGGGAGGGGTGGAACTGCAGCCTCCCAAACCTGCAGGCAGTGGTGGGGTGGCGGGAAGGCGGGAGGGGCAGGAGAAGGGGGTGCTGTCTTTGGGCTGATGCCATTGGGGGATTTGGCCCAGACATAGCAGTTAGATTAAGTTTCTGAAAGCACATTCCCAAGTAGAATGGGGGCTGTGTTTTACTAGTTGGCTGACGTGGGAGGGAGGCGAGCAGTAGAGGGAATTACCCAAGGCAAGGTCTGCATTTAGAGGAAGGCAGGGCAGTGGCAAGCCCATGCACACACACACAAGCACAGCCACACACACATCATTTAATGCTTCCTTTTCCTGTAGCCTCTTCTGCATGTGCTTAGATGTGCATCCTCAGACAAAGCAGTTGCTGTTTGGCCTACCTGACAAGAGGCTGCCTCCTGTGTGAGTTCCACTGGAACTCACTTCACTTGATGCATTAGATGAGGGGAGCTAGGTCTGGGCTCAAAGATTTAGGAGATGAGAAGGAGGTGTCTAGCAGAAGAGCTTTCCTACTCAGGACCCCTCAACACTAGGTGTTAGAGGTTCCCCTTGGAACTCATCCTTACCTGGTGACATCAGCTTCTGGTCTTCAGATAAAATGTTGTTGTTGTGTGCTGTCGAGTCAAACTTGACTCGTAGCAGCCCTCCATGGGTTCTGAGGCGGTATCACTACAGAAGTAGATTGCCCCATCTTCCTTCCGAGAAGTGGCTGGTGGGTTTGAACCACCAGCCTTCTGGTTAGCAGTCAAGTGCCTTAGGCACTATGCTACCAGAGCTCCCTCAGATAAAATAGAGCCTGGAAATTAAGAACCACAATGAAGAGTCTCACCTGTGCACTCCACCTTCCACTCCAGGCTGCCTTGGCTGTATGGACAATGGCTGTCTCCTTCTCTGTGGAGGCACCCACTTACTCTCCTCTGTGGACATTTTTTTTTCTTTGTAGCCTAAACGTTTCCTTTTTTTTGGACAAATCTCTTATTGCTTATGCCTCACTTCAAACCATCCCATCTGATTGTTGTTTTTTTGAAATGGTTTTGGCTTTCATCTCCTTGATTCCTCTTCTTTTTACCTTTCTTTTCACAAGTTTCATACCAAGGAGGCAACCATTCACTCCACATGGCTCAAACATTCCCACTCTGGGCTCTTGAACCAACAATGGGCATTACTAATTGAACACGAGACTCTTTCTTACTAGACCCTGATTCAGTCTCAGAATTGCTCGCAACATAGTATGGCAAGTAGCCACACCAATTCATCAGAGCTGGCATCAACTTGAAAGCTATTTTCTATCCCTTAGTTGCAATAATAGGAGCTC